TTGTGGACAACAGGCTAAACATGAGCCAGCAATGTGATGCAGCTGCCCAAACAGCAAATGCTATTTGAGGTTGCATTAATAGAAGCATTACTTCCAAATCATGAGAAGTAGCAGTTCCCCTATACTCCTCACTGGTCAGACCTCATCTAGAATCCTGTGTCCAGTTCTGGGCACAAAGATGGAAGAAAGAAGCAGAAAAATAGAAAGGGTGCAGAGGAGGGCAGGGAGAATGGCCCAGGGTTTGGAAACACTGCCCTGTGGGAGAGACTGAGAGAACTGGGCATGTTCAGCCTTGAGAAGAGAAGTCGGGGGGGGGGGGGGGGAATGACATGAGATCCCTCTATAAGTACCTGAAGGGCTGTCACAATGAAGAAGGTCAAGCTCTCTTCTTGCTGGTGCCAGAGTGTAGAACACAGAATGATCAAGTCAAGTTGCGACAACCCAGATTCAGGCTGGATACCAGGAAAAGCTTCCTCACTGTCGGAGCGATAAGACAGGGGGACCAGTTGCCTAGAGAGGTGGGGGCTCTCCCACACTGGGGACATTCAGAAAGAAACTGGCCAGTAATCTGGGTGGGATGGTGTAAAATGGTCTTCATGGCCCCTATCAACACTGCTATTCTACGATTCTGTGTGTCTTCCTTTGTCTTTAGGTGAACTTGAAGGGTTTTTTTTGAGTCACTGGTTTCTTCTTTCATGTGTTACTTTCGTTTTTGTTGGAATTGTTTGTAATTGTGCCTTGAACATTTATTTCTTTGCAAATCCCATGCATCTTGGACTACCCTTTTCCTTCAGGTAATTTCCCATAGAGCCTTACTTATCATTGCCCTGAGTTTTATTCAAATCAGGTTCCCCAAAATGCAGAGCATGTGAATGGCTGTGCTCCATTTTTGCTTCCTTTAAAATTGAGATTGCAAGTATGCCATGGTCACTTTCTCCCAGAGTTCCCGTAACTTCCACTTGATCAACCAAGTCACCCCTATTAGTCTGTGTTAAGTTGACGATAGCTGCTCTCTAGTTTCTTCCTCCGCTTTCAGTAGAAGAAAGTTATTTGCTGTGCATGTGTAGAATTTTTTTAAGGGGCCACTTTTGGCAGAATTTATCTCCCAACAGATATCTGGGTAATTGGAGTCCTCCATTACTACCTCATTACACTTTTGTGTCATACTGGTAATTTGCTTAATAAAAGTATCATCCTCATCTTCTCTTTGATTGGGGTGATCAGTAGACTGCTCTCTCATGCTCATTTTATTCCTTGACACATTCAACCCAGATGCTCTCAGTAGGGCTTCCAGGCTCATCTTCCTGCACTTCTGTGTAAGACTAAGTGTTTGCAACATGCAGCTCCACTTCCTTTCCTATTTCTTCTCTTCTTTTTGAACAAGTTCTCTCCTTCAGTTGCTACTCTTCAGTCATGGGAGTCTGACTTACAAAGCTTCAGTAGTACCTACCAAGTCGTATTTTCCTTCTTAATTTAAAAGGTCATCTCCCGTACTCCGGTCATTAGCGTATAGACACTGAAGTACATGCGTTTTCTGGTCTGGCTTCTATCCTACATTGCAGAGAAGACTGTTTTGAGACACTGCCAGAGCTCCTCTCTCTGTTACGGCACCCAAGCCTTCATCCACTGTTGCCTCCAAGGTACCATCACCTGCCCCCAATAAGACTCCTTTTTGAAGCCCTCCTGATGGTATTCTTCCTGCTGTGGTGAAACACCTTCTCTCAAGCCCTTGTGAGGTGCAATCCATCCCTTCCTAGCAGTCCATCCTCCAGGTAGCATAGTCTGTGGCACTAATGATGCTTTCATTTTCTTTTATTTCTCAGGAAACGACAAAGAATAAACTGAGTTAAATGGAAGCTATTCTCAAAGTCAGGTATATTCTGCAGAAGTGGGAAGTCAAGCGTACCTCAGTCTGTGGCATAAATCTCATTCTTGACTTGGGTGACAGGTAAGATGCAGGTTTGGAGAGCTTTCCTATTTCTTCTGCTCTTTTTGAACAAGTTTTGCCCTTCAAGTGCCATATTCCAGTGACGGGAGTCATTTCATCAAGTTTCCGCAATACCTATCAAAAGCCTTCATGTATTTAGAGTCTGTTTCCCACACTTTGCCAAAAGTATGTGGAGGAGGACAGTGGTGTGTGGAAAGTCTGCCTGCTTGACAGCGGCCAGCTGGGAACTGGATGGGGGGAAGGCGGCCCACTCTGGTCACTCTTTTGGACCTCGCAGTGGCTTTTGTCCTCGGTGATGTTTAGGATCTACTTGATTTATTTTTATTTATTTATTTATTAAAACATTTCTATGCCGCCCCTTGCCAAGGCCTCGGGGCGGCTTACAACAATGCCACGCGGAGCTTTAGAGCGCTGTGCCATCGCTGTGCTCATGATTCACGGCTCTATTGCTCTTCTCCACCTGAATCCAAGGAAGCAGTCGGCGCTCCTGCCCATCATCTGAATTTGCCATAGGCTGGCTGGGGATGAGTCTAATTCAGGGGGCTGGGACTTGGCCTGTTTCGGGCGAGTTCTCCCTCTCACGGAAGACGAGGTCTGGAGCTTAGCAGGGCCTCTTGATGCTGCACTGTCCCTGGATTTTCAGGTGGCAGTGATGGCGAGAAGCAAGTTTTGGGTGTGTCTGTTGCAGCAGTTCCCGAGTTGGACTCATTTAGCAGTGGTTATCTATGTCCTGGAGAAGTTGTGCTGCCCTTGAAGAGGGTCTAAGAAATTTCAGCAGGTGCAAAGCATGGCAGCTGGCTTGCTCGCAGGTTGTCAGTTCCAGGTGCCGATGGCCGCTTTGAGAGCTCCAAACAGTGCAGAGCCTGCCTGTGGGGCTGCCTAGCTTGGAATCAAGCCCTCTGGTTAGCAGGATCCCCAGGAGAGCCCCTTGCATGATCCTACCAACCATAGAGGCCATTTGTCAGGCCACTGGGTTGGGCCTTCTCTGGAACGCAGCCTCTCGGGTCGCACCTGGTTCCTGCTGAAGAGATCTTTTTAATGTGACTTTTAAAATTGTGAACAATGCATACTGGCCTGTAATACTGATCAAAATTAATTGATATATTAATTTTACTTGGACTATGTGTTGCACACATCTGCTTCATATAGAGCTATTGTAGTAGTTAAGTTTCTTGTATACACAAAGATGAGCGTCTCTTAAAGCAGATAAATACACTTTTGTTTTTCTATACGTTTGTTCTTGTTGCTGATAAATGCCATTTTTTTTAATGATGCAGGTATTTGCAGGCATCCCATATCTGCCCTGCTCTTTTTCCTGTGATATGAAAGGGATAATTGGCTCCTGCGACATGGGTATCAGTGGCTTGGCTGGTGGGGTCTCTCTGTGTTTGCTCAGTTGGGCTGTTCTGTGTTGTGAAGAGGCAAATCTGTTTGATTCCTCCTTCCTTCCTTCCATCCTTCCTTCCTTCCTTTCGTTTCTGTACTGCCCAGTCGCTGAAGCCGCCTGGGTTTGTCACAGCAATTTTCAGGGGTGGTCACTGAAGATACTTGCTATTTTATAGGCCACATGTGGCCGGGGAATGCCTGGCATTCAGTCCCTTGGACTACCCTGTGGGGCCATGTTGGGATGCCTGTCAACTCAGATGCTTCAAAATGGTTGAGGCCACGCTGCCGCCCCGAAGCTTGTTCCCTGGGGTGGCAGAGAGGGACGCGCCGTCTCTTCAAGGGCAAGTCAGAGCAGGGGGGAGAGGCTGCGTGCCCGAACCAGGCAGTGGCAGAGCAAGGCAGTCTGCTCAAAGCAAATGGCTTTGCTCTGCGCCGGGCTCCTTTGCTGCACGGATGGGGACAGTGGGGGGGGGGAGTGCCCCCCCGCAACAACCCAACTTCCGCCAGTGGCGGGTCTTGCTCTGCAGGGGGCGGGAAGGCAGCGCAGGCTGCTGCACAGGCGGCTTCAGTGGGAGGAGGCCACAGGCACTGGCAAGGCAGGCGCAGGAAGCTCGATCCCTGCCAGTGGCCAGGAAGTGCTTCTTTTGAGCAGAACAGAAATGCTCTGGCTGAATGAGCAGAGGGCTTCCCTTCAGCAAGACGGTGGCCCTGCTGTAGCCAAGGTAGGTCACAGTTGATCAAAGAATCATACAATAGTAGAGTTGGAAGGGGCCATGAAGGCCATCCAGTCCAACCCCCTGCTGCTGCAGGACACCAGTATACACCATACCATCCAGATGACTGGCCAGTTTCTTTCTGAATGTCCCCAGTGTGGGAGAGCCCCCACCTCTCTAGGCAACTGGTTCCACTGTCTTATCGCTCTGACAGTGAGGAAGCTTTTCCTGGTATCCAGCCTGAATCTGGGTTGTCGCAACTTGACTTATTCATTCTGTGTCCTACACTCTGGCACCAACAGGAAGAGAGCTTGACCTTCCTCATTGTGACAGCCCTTCAGGTACTTATAGAGGGATCTCATGTCATCCCCCCCCCCCCCCGACTTCTCTTCTTGAGGCTGAACATGCCCAGTTCTCTCAGTCTCTCCCACAGGGCAGTGTTTCCAAACCCTGGGCCATTCTCCCTGCCCTCCTCTGCACCCTTTCTATTTTTCTGCTTCTTTCTTCCATCTTTGTGCCCAGAACTGGACACAGGATTCTAGATGAGGTCTGACCAGTGAGGAGTATAGGGGAACTGCTACTTCTCATGATTTGGAAGTAATGCTTCTATTAATGCAACCTCAAATAGCATTTGCTGTTTGGGCAGCTGCATCACATTGCTGGCTCATGTTTAGCCTGTTGTCCACAATTACTCCGAGGTCTTTTTCAGTTCCCTTAAACCATATATTCCCCATCTCGTATCGATGCATTTGGTGGCACTTGTTCCTACTGAATCTCATTCTGTTGCTCTCAGCCCAGCGTTCAAGTTTATCAAGATCGCTTTGGCTCTTCATTCTGTCTTTTGGGGGGCTCACTATTCCGCCCAGTTTTGAACTGTCTGCAGATCTGATGATCCTCCCGTGCCCTTCCTCGTCTAACTGATTCATACAGAGGCTGAAGAGCACCGGGCCCGGGACTGAGCCCTGCGGCCCCCCACTCGTTCCCTCCCTCCAGCCTGGGAAGGTGCCACTGATGAGCACTCTGTGTGTCCAATTTAGCAGCCAGTTTTGGCTCCACCTAACAGCTTTCTATCTAGTTCAGTGTTTGCTAATTTGCTTTTCAGAATGTTGTGGGGTACTATGTCAAAAGCTTTACTAAAGTTGAGGGAGATTATGTTCCCTCTGTCCGTTTGGGAGGTTACCTAGTCAAAAAAATGAGATTAAATAAGTCTGACAGGATTTATTTTTGATAAATCCATGTTGGCTCCTATTAATCACTGCACTTTCTTCCAGATGCTTGCTGATAGATTTTTTAATAATGAATTTTTCCAGGGATTGATGTCAGACTG